TGTTAAATATAAAAAATATCTTAAAAACGCAGCACTAGCTTTGTATGCTACGTGTCAAACCACAAGCGTAGTCCCTGAGTACTGTAGGAATTCTTGGTGACAACTTAAGTGTTGCCACTACAAATAGCTGTAAGAACAAGAGTTTATCTGGAGCAGAGAGTTCATAGTGGGAGGATAATATTGAAGAATTAGCTGGTGTTCAGGTGGTGGAAAAGCTGTATTTCAGGTAAATTGAGATTTTATTTCATGAACAAAGGAAACCATGAAAAGTCATTTATGGGTATGTATTGGCTAGATGTGCCAGGTCATATATGCCAATGATTCATCTGATGGTAGTATTTTTAGCAAGGGGAAAGACTGAGATATTGAGTGTAAAATATGAAGCAAGAGTGTGTGACTCCTTGAGTTTGAGTGATAAGCAGACAGTATTCATCTTAATGAGAACAGATAATAAAATATTGCCATAATCCAAGTGGATGAATTATACAAAGGTTGTGGTAGATGTATACGTATATATATGTGTGTGTGTGTGTGTGTATGTATATATATATATATATATATATATATACACACATACTATTCTTTTCTTCCTTTGTTCTTATCATGAATGGGAAAAAGAGTAGCTGCCAGCCAAAAGGATGCAGGTTTCGTAGAGGGGGAGGGGCATGGTTATCTGCAGAGGAAGGAGTGTCACAAAGACTTTCCTGGCAATGTTACCTAAACACCAATAGCTTGCAGGTGAGTCAGCTAAAACTCTAGTAGCTTGAGAGGGCCATGCATACAAGCTTTACATTAGCTATAGCTGACTAAATGTGATTATGAGGATACCCTGCAAGCTATGGTGTTTTGCAAATATAAGTACCACCAAAGCCATCCTGGTGAGGGCTGTAGGTGTTTTTTTCCCTCTATATGTGATGATAACACAGATAAAGAGCCCTCTAATTTGACCCTCCATTTGAACAGTCACAGTGGTGACTTTTCCATCGGTAGTTATGCCAAGTTTCCCTCTAAGAAAGTCTTGTTCTGGGATTGTTTTAAGAGCTTTTTTTTTTTTTTTTTTTCCAGGATCTCTCTGTCTCTCTGGTGAAAGCCAACTGCCTTTGTTAGGGGGACAATGAGAAGATAAATTTGATAAAACTTAGCAGTTACTGGGGAAGGGTTTCACTTTTAAAAGACGTAGGAATTACCTCCATCTGATTGATGAGTCACCTACTTTGTGCTGGTGGCCGAGGCAGCAGGTGGACAGAGTCAGAATCTATTAGAAAAATGAGACTTTAATGAAGGTCCCACATTGTTCACATGTTGATTTCCCAAAGTTTTTGATTCACAATCTATATTGTTTAGATGTGATATTCAGTATACTACATACATTTTGTTGTTTTTAAAAGGCATATTTTTACCGTTTTTATAAAATGACCTCCAGATCATCAAATTCCAGCTTTTGTTAGTTGGCTTGGGTTATTAAAACAGCCTACTGCCACCTGGTGGCAGCATGTCCTAGTCAAGATTGCAAACAGGATAGAAATGTCACTTGAGAGGCAACTTTTAATACAAACACAGAGAAGTGAGATCCTTGTGTACATATTCACTCATGTTCTGCCAAATCCAACATGTTTACAACCAAGCATTATGCTATTTATCAAGTATGAATGTGGCCAGACATCAAGGCTGGCCACATCATAATAATACATGATTATTCTTAATCTCAAAATAAACCTAAGCACAATAATTATTATTCCCATTAACAAACAAGGACATGCAGGCCTGGGTGGGGGTAGGGTGTAAATAGCTATCCTAGTGAGATGCTCTAACTCTATTTTTACATCAGTGTTCATTTTTGTGCAATGTTGACTTCTCCTCTAGGGCATTGTCCCCATGAAATTATCACCACCAAGACACCTGTGAACCATGACCACGGACTGGTGCATTTCCCTCCCATTTTGATCCCTTACCCTCCCTCTCTTTTTACTTTCTTGATCCATTGCATGGTTTCCCTATGTTCCTTCTATAAGTGAAACCGATCTGATACATTTTTTTAAAGATTTATTTATTTATACATACATGAGCTGGGGTATCAGCCAGAAGTGTGGGAATGTGAGAGGATTCACCAGAGACAAAGTGGTGAGCAGAACAGGCAGGTGTACTGAAATATACTTCTGAGGGGAGCAGTGGGAGAGGACTGGTCTGTTTTGCCATGTGGGTCACCTCCCTTGCTGGCTGGGATTGAACTCGCACTATAGTGGCTGGCAATAGCTTGATAGCTCTGTCTTTTAACCCCAGTGCCAGGGAGGCCCCTAGATGCCTAACTCATAGTTGCAATTATACTCTACCTTCTAATCTGTTGTCAAGCATATTGTCTGTCCTTCAGTCACCTAGATGTTCTCTGTTTCATTGCTCACCCATGACCCCCTGTCTCATATTCCTTTGAGAATCTCCTTGTATCAACTGATTCTACCTGCTAAAGTTTCTAGCCCTGATCTTTTGACCTGTAGGTTTTTAGAGCATATTTCTAAAGGACTTAATTTTTTATCTTTAAGTAAATTGTAAAATTACATAAAACTGTATCTTTTGTAAATGTCAAAATTATAGGGAACACAGTAAACAGTGAATGCATTTGTTATTATTTTCATCATCTCTAATCGTTAGAGGAGTAAGGGAGTAAAATTTGGGGTTTGTTAGGTTTTAAAATATAACTAAAGCTATAAAATATAACTAAAGCTATAGCAATATCCTAATCTGCATTTTTTCTTTTCATTCTACAATATATCTTGCAGAAATTTCTTTGTCAATGCTATTTATGCACTCTAAATACTAAGGTTTTACAAAATAAATCATAGATTTCAATTACATATTTCTTTCATTCAGAAACAAAATTATACTTGTTTTTATCTAATTGAAATATGTCTTACTCCCAGATTATAGGTTTCTATGGGTCTTCTCTCCTTTTTGGTTATTATTAATCAAGATCTCTTTCATAACAGTGTGGCCTAGCAATTAAGATTATGTTCATAAAACAATTAAATGTGTGTGAGAGTGTATGTAATGTCATCTTCTGGATAAAATTTAACATGTAACTGCTGAAGTCTTACTTTCATGTCTTATGTAAATTTATAGTTTCTCTGCAATTTCTCTACAGTTCTCAAATTTTAGGTTGCATCATATTCATATGGGGATTTGCTAGAACCCTAACACCGGGTCCCTTCCCCAGAGGTTCTGATTCAGTAGATATGGAATGAAACCTGTACATTTCCAGTCTAATGTGTTTCCATTTGTCACTTATGCTTCTGGTCTAGTAACCACACTTCAGAGATCATTGATTTACATGACTCTCCTCTGATGCTTTATACCTTCTAGAACACGAGAACTGTGGCTTCAAGAGAGTCACAAAAATGGCCGCCAGGTTGGGTGTGGATGCCTCCCTGAATGGGGTCTGCAGGGCTTCACAAAGCAGAACTGAGGAGAATGACAGCTCTGCCAATAACTCAGACCATAAATTAAGCAACAATTTTCCCATGTGCAGAAGGCAGAAAGAACTATTGTTTGTCCATTAGTCTCTACAGTGGTGCATGCTCTAGTGACTGCCACCTATACAGTAGTTGCTTCACCTTTGAGTATGAAGGATGGCATTGTAGTGCCACAACACCCAGAAAATAATATTTTATTTATATTCTTCACTTACTGATAGTAGCTCAACCAAGTAAAACTCCAATTATTAGCTAAACTGTCAAATATTTACAATATTTCATTGTGAGTGTAGATTCAATCCGGGTTTGGATTTGACTTGTACAGTGTTTGTATCCATCTACTGTACAGTAATCCAGAATTGGTGAGCCAAAAGCTTAAAAAAAGTTACCATATATTTTATTCTTTACAAATACATTAACTTTATTTGTAATCTTGTAATTTTATTGACATGAATTGTTTGCTCATACACACAATGAACAGAGAAGATACATCACTTATAAATTCTATTATCCAAAATACAAATGTAATATATGCATAAAACTTATATAATAGAGCACTTATTGATGATAATAGTGAGATATAGGAGGTATAATCAAACTTTTAAGATAAATCTGCTAGATAATTTGTAATTCTTATAAAGTTGTACATAGTTACACATTGATCAGATCAACATTTTAAAATCAGTGTACTCAGAATCAGAAAAATGCTTGGGACTGATCTATATAGTTGACCCAATGGACTGCCTTCCCTCATTAGTACTTCTCTGTTTCTCTACCCTTCCCTGGTAGCCTCAATTCTTCAGTAAGATTTCTAGGATCTGTTTGGTTTACTTTGGTCTGTTCCTTGAATTTGTTTCTTTTGATTTTACATATGAGTGAAATAATTTGGAATTTGTCTATTTCCATCCATGTTGTTTAAAATGACGAGCTTTCATTTTTTTAATAGCTAAGTAGTGTTCCATTGTGCATATAGAAACATCTTTGTTTTGCATAGTCTTTTCATTCATAAAATTCCATTTATGTTAATAAAATCTTTCTAAGAATTCACAATCATGTCAAACTGTGGTTGTGTTAGGTAATTATGGCAGTGGGGCAAAATATCCAAAGAAGTACATTTTTCATCATTCACACTTAAATTTGAAATATATGACTCCTTGTTTGCAGTACTTGCCTCATAACATCAGGAGATGGACAATTTGATGGTGGTGATGAGTAATCTCAGAGCTCAGATCATGGCAGATTCACATCATGTGCTGACCCTGGAGACTTTTATTAGGCAGAAGGATACAGATCTCCCTGATGGAATTCAGGTGTGAGAAGGGATACATCAGCAAAATTTCTGTTCAGTCATTATTTTTAAAGACTCCTCTTGAGGGTTATATATATCTCAAGCATCAAAAGTTAATTTTTATACCTATAATGCAATTATAAAAGAATAGCAAACATTTTTGATGTTGAATACTTTTTCACCAAATCTTCTGTCTCCTTAAAACAATGAAGTTTGGTTAACTGAAGTTTACATGTCTCTCTTTTTAGGTGGTTCTTTGGAGCAATCAAGAGAGCAGATGCAGAAAAACAACTATTATATCCAGGAAATAAGACTGGTGCCTTTTTAATTAGAGAAAGTGAAAGCCAGGAAGGAAATTTCTCCCTTTCAGGTATGAGCATTGTTTTGTGTGATTTAAGTATGGGTTTGAGAATCTATTGTGAACTTGCCATGTGAACAGGGACACGTTAATTTTAAATTTACCTTTTTTCTTACCTTCACAACACTACCAAAATGAAATCTACTGATTTACCTGAGTAATACAGCAATTGGCAAAAAATTTCCATCTGTGAGTAGAACCTATAAACAGTTTCAAACACACATACTTCTGATACAAAACAAAACAAAACAAAACTTGTGGGTCTAGATATTTTCCTACTTTTGCATTATCTAAGATCTTATTTTGGAAAATGATAAAGAAGAAGCAAACAACTACTGTTGTAAAAATTGACTTTCACAGTGCATTTTTTTGTCTTGCCTTTCCTTGTCTCTTCCTAGTAAATAGAAAATAAATTGTAATACTCAATTCAAATGCAGTAAATTAAATCCATGACAAAATTTAATCAGTTTTCCACCTAAGAGTCAAATACATGTCCACTCTGTACCATCCTAGGAAAAAAAGCAGCACAGAGGACCTGAGAATTATCTTTAAGAGTTTCGGGTGCTTATGTGCACGTCTTTGCTTTGAAGAATCTTTCTCAGTGTCTGGTGCAACGCCATGTCCTTTCTTAAAGACTATTCCGGAGTCCGTTTCACGTGAAACCTTTTCTCTCCTTGTCCTGCTCTCTGTCGTCCTGGCTCATTTCTTATGTCATCTCCTTTAAAGCGTGCACTCTGTTTCTTCAACTAGACATAAAACTTTAAGGAGAAGAGATTTTGCAGCCTTTTATCCCAGTTTATAATCACGATGCCACGTGCCATATCGTGTCCGCTGAGCTCCTGAACTTGCAGTTGGGACTGCTCCACCGCCAGCACTAAAGAAGTCCCCGAGCCCACGAGGGAATGCTGACTTGACCGGAACTCAGACCATGCCCTGTGTATTTGGTGCCCTTTTCCTGCTCACACGCGGTGGTTCCAATTATCAGAAAAGGTCGTCTCAGGCTAGAGAAAAGTAAGAGCAGTGGTGTTGGGCCAAGTTTTTCAGACCCTTCAACTCTTGTCTATCCTGGCACCTCGTCCAGATGCTATGCTAGAATTGTATGTTTCAACTCCACCTCTACTTAACTAGAAAATGCTGTGCTGATTATCATTCTCAAAGTGCGATCAAGTATGTTGTACCATTGACCTTTGTAATCTAGTGTAGACCAAGCTTGATAATCTATATATTTAATGACTAATGTAGGATGGGTGTTAGCCACTGGACTTAAAACAGTGCATATCTTATATAATCATAACTGGGTATTTTATTATATATACTAGTATTTTTCTGATTATGAAAGCAATAAAAACTTTTAAAAAGAGAAAAGCTCTGGGCTCCTCCTGGTGGTGCAACAGGTTAAAGCACCACATTAGGAAGCTCTCTGAAGCCACTGCAGCAGGAGTTGCATCCACTACCAGGAAGCTGGCCCACATGGCATGGCAGACCTCTCCTGACCCGCCCGCTGCTCCCCTCAGCACTGTACTTCGTCGATCTGCCTGTTCTGCTCCCCACTCTATCTCTCATGAATTCTCTCACCCACCATCCCTCTGGCCTGTACCCAGTTCTGTAAGCATAAATAAATAAGTCATTTAAAAAAAAAAAAGAGAGAGAACAGCTTAAAGAAGAAAATCTAGCATTCATGTTCTAAGGATAAATCTAAAATATTGAAATACTTTTTCTGACAGACTTTTATCTTATATTTATTTAAACAGACACATGAACACATATACACACACAATAAAATGAGGTAATCTAACTGAAATATTTAAATGTTTATATATTTAAATGTAAACATGTGCTTATGTATAATCACATGTATACATGTATCTGTTATACACATGTATTTGTGTGTGTGTGTAACGGGGATCAAGTTGCCATTTTTCTTACTTCTCTCAGTATACTGTGACTATTTTTGCATGTTCTTCAATATTTTCCTACATCATCATTTTTAGAAATCATAAACCTTCTACTGTATGGATGTTATAATTTATTTAACCTATTTCATATATTTTATATAATTATTATTTTTAGTCATTTTGTTGTTATAAAATATGTGGTGGATATTCTTAAAAACCTTTGAAGATTTTCATGGAGTATAATACTCAGAGTAAGAAAAATGAATCTTTAGGAGATCTCTTGCTTCAGGAGAACTGTAAGAGAATTCCTTATCTAAGTGCACCAACATTTGTTTATTTCCTTATCCAATATTTATATGTAAAATTAAGTAGTTATTATTTAGCCAATATATAGATGAAACAATTTAGTTATTATTAAAAATACAGGAAGATTTTCATCAGAAAAACAATTGAAAATAGAATTGCCAATATCATATCTCTGTATAATGCTTAGGCAGTTGTGACTATTCTGAATACTCTCCCAGAAGAATATTATGGAACAAAACAGCTTTATAAGCTTAGAACAAAATGACAAGGATATTGGTTGTTGTGTACTGAGAATACTCTAGCGCTTGCTTGTGGATTTAGGAAGCTTTGTAAGCCTTACTTGGAGACCAGCATATCATTACAGATACTTTTTTGATGAAGTCAAACACTTTAGAGTCTTTCAAACAAATTATGTGCTTGTGTGTTTTCACTGGGGACAGAGTAAATGCAGACCATTATGGTCAACTGAAAGGAAAATTTTCTTAGTAGCTTGAGGGAGGATGGCACAGTAAAAAAATGGGAGAAAAAGTGTCTTTAATATATCTACATTAAAACAACAAACCAACCCAATTGCTGACTGTTGATCACCCCTAAAGAGCTTAAGAATAGACCAGTTTTAGATTTCTTCCTTACTGTGGTTGTCTCCTTAATCAGTCAGAATTGATGGCCCTCAGTTTTGCTGATTGCTGGGCTGCTAACAGGAGGCAAATAATATTCCTTTTCTAGCTCTGTTTTCCCCACATGAGTTTTCCTTAGAAGTATTGTCTCTATTCCATAGGCGGCAATGGCTCACAGCTGTCAGAAAGGAGCTTCGTGAGGGAGCATGATTTATTGATGCTGGGTGGCTCCAGGAAGCAGCAACCCACCGTTGGGGTGGGTGCTAATTGGCTCGTTGTGATCCTCGCACGGCTGTCGGCTCTTGTGAGGTCTGGGTAGATCTAGAAAGAGAGTTAGGGCCATGACATCTCTCATAATGGCAAGACACTAATTAGCTGTGAATTACAGCAGCACATTTGGATATTACATATTATATGTGGTAGACTGAGAATCTGTCTTCATTAGATATATGACAGGTAGCTTTAGTGGCCTACTGTTATTTTGTCATTGGTAGTGAATTGTTTGATGAAAAACATAAAACTCTCACAGAGTGTCAACTGGTTTCAACTGGCTATCTCTTGGCTTCATTCAATTGCTTTAAAAGGAATTATTATTGTTATTACCATTAATAATAATTTGATATTTGGTGTCTTATGAACATTTGTATTTTTGTATACAGTACACTTTATGGATGATACATTTCCGTGGCTAAAAATTGAATAGTAGGTGAATTTTTCATTGCACGTTGTAATTTTATTTTAGACAACTTGGCACATAAAAATTGTCCACAGGAGTAGAGGGAATTTCAGATTCATCCTTAATGAAACCCTTTCAATAGCAAATGATAACAGATTGAAGATAGTTGAAAAATGACAGTAAGCACCTGAGGCAAGAAACCTCACCAGTAACATTCCGGGCAGTGATCTCAAGGTTGACATCATTTATACATTGTTCATTTCTTCAACAAACATCTAAGTGACAATTACCTATCAGGCCTTAGAAGGTGCAGGGCAGCAGAGAGCAAGTACAGCTCCTGCTTCCTGTCATACAGCTGAATTGTGATGAGGGGACAGGGGCTTGTCTTTGAAGAGGGGGCAGGAAGGGCCCTAGGAGAGGGAGCATTTGTGTCCTGCACTGAATGTGTTATGAGGTAGCAGTGTGAGGACAATTATTTTTAGCAAAGCCAGTGCACAGAGTTGTGAGTATATCTGCAGATCTGGTGTGTTGTGGAGTGGAGGGTGGGAAAGACGGATAGTGCCGGTATTTGTGGGGGTTCAAGGCCCTTCCTTATCTGAGGAAATTGGCTATCTGAGGAAATTGGTCCTTATTCTTTTTTTGATATTTATTTATTTATTCATACAGAATGGGGAGACAAGCCAGCGGAGCAGGGACGGTGAGAGGCAGGGACGGTGAGAGGCTTCATCTATGAAGTACACTGCTGAGGGGAGCAGCGGGTGGGTCAGGAGAGGTCTGCCGTGCCCTGTGGTCACCTCCGGGGCAGGGAACCAGCTCACACTGAAGGTGCTACTGCCAGCTTGCAGAGAGGGCCACCAGAGAGGGCCTGGTTCTTATTCTCTAGAAGGGAGTTTTAGGCAGAAAGTGAGCTGGTCTGACCTTTGATAGCAGTGTAAAGAATGGATGATTACATAATTATAATTAAATAATGAGTTTGGGAAGCAGCACAGTGGATGACAGCAGAGTTGCGCAGGTCCTGTGGGGGCAATGGGCTGGGATCTAGCTCAGCAGACTGCACGGGGTCTCCTTTCTGTACAGGCACCCCAGGAGCTGAAGCCCCCTTTGTTGCTCTCCATTTTCTGGGGCCAGCGTGGCAATGGGCCTAAGACTCACAATGACAGTCTGTCTGACTGAGTGGCCTCAGTTTGCAGAGCACATTATCTTTGGCCTTGAGCACAGCAGGACCTGCAGCTCTCCTGTGAGAAGTTGAGTTCAGGAGCAGCTCCTGTGGCTGGGGATGGCAGTGATGAGGCTCAGGCCCTGTCTTTCCTAAAAGATCTCTCTGGGTTCCCTCCTACATGGTTCTGCTAGTGTCCATGGGTAAAGGCCTAAACCAGAGCTGGGGGTATGGGAAATAGAAATGAGGGGATAGCATTGAAATATTTATTTTTTATTTATTTATGCATACCGAACTAGGTACAGGCCAGAGGTGCAGATGCGGTGAGAGGATTCACCAGAGACAGAGTGGGGAGCAGAACA